TGTTTGGGATATAGGAGATAAAGATTCATGTTACATGATAACCAGTTGGAATTGGGATCAAATGTCCTAGTTGTAGTACGAAAGTGATAATGTATCATCTTTTTATAGGTTGGTTGGTGCAATTGAATTTTACATTATTATCAATAATTTTGTTCACTTGTTTGGGATTGAGACATAATATATTGAATATTCTGCTCTCAGATATTGCAATGGTAATAGATGTTCAATGCAAGTTGTAATATGGTCAGGGGCAGATCTAGCTAATGTGGTATGTGTTCACGCGAATCCACGAAATCTAAATAGATCGATGGAGATTACAATGTAGGGAATCGAATCCTCATCAATAAGCTGAAAGTTTAAGTAGAAAGACAATCAATCGAAATTTCAATAAGTAAAAAAATGAATTTCTTTGAAATCAACAAGTACATAGTATTTAGAATTGACAGTAGAAACTAACACGAAATTGCTCCAAAAGAAATTTCAAGGAAATGACATTGAAATAACTATTGTCTAGTAAGTAGTACTATCACTATATATATTTATTATTGCAATAAAGATGGTTGTTGACATTAGTTGGATTAGGTAAGAGTTAATTAATTTCTTCCTCTGTTTATTTTTATTTGTTCATAACATAAAAAATAGATGTTTACTTTAACTTTTCAAATGATTTTTTTTTTTGAAAACAAAAGATAATTTATCATTTTATACCGATAATTTATTGTTTGCTACTTTCACTAAAAAAAATGTAATACTAGCTGGAACTCTGGAAGATGCATCTCCGATACTGTTTTAGCTGTTGAAGGCCAGAGTATCAATTCCTTCAAGTTGTAGCTCAAAAAGTCGAAAAAATGTGAGCTCAAGTTAACTTTAATTTAAAAATCAAAACCATTTAATTTTGTTAGTACGTTTGTAAACAAAAATATATTTAACTTTAAATTTTTCATTTTATCTGAAGTGAGAAAATAAATAAATTATAGTCATACAAATGTAACCACGTGTTTAAGACTAAAAGTTTCAAAAGTTTTCAATGCTTCTCAAATTCCTGTCCAATAAGACTATGTCACATGCACAAATCAAATGAAGAGTGGATTGGTTTTTAAAAAACTTAAAACTATTACTCTATTGTTTGGCAAGTTTCATACCTAAACTATTGGATATTTTTATAAGGGTTTTGTAGTTGCCATTCAATGGTTGATGTTCACACTGAATGCCATATTCCTTCTCCGTGAAGTTTTAATATATGAGTTGGCATAATATATAAATTGGACCCTTCACTTGGCTTCAAATTATAACTTTGACCTTTAACTTTGTAAGTGCACAAATAGGCACTTTAACTATCCAAAACTTAAACAAAAAAACACTCGGATTCTACCTGGCAAAATGCGTGAAATACACTCAAATTAGGCGCGTCAGATGTAAAAATCGAGGGGGCCAACTGTAAAAAAGCATTGAAAGGACAATTAAACCCTCTTTATATTTTTTTCAACAATTTTCCCCTCTTTTTTGCATTATTTGTTGTTCACTGCAAAATGCAAGTGACATTTAATAATTATTACGAAAAAAATTTATAAAAGTTAATTTTTAACTGACGTTAAATAAATAGTTTTAAATTTTAAATTTGAATAAATTATATATATTTATATGGTAGTAAACGTTCATGTTAACTCTAAAATGAATACATCACTATTAATAAAGCTTGAAGTTTAAAGAAAAATCCTTAAATGACCAAAATAACCCTTAAACTCAATTTTAATCACAGAAAGCATACATGTCCACGGTTTGGTGGCTGATTCATCAACTGATTTTTTGTATGTTTTTTCAAAAATATTTTAGTTGCTAATTTGTTATAATTTATAAAAATCATTAACGTCATTTTCGAATAACTTATAGTATTGTTAACTTTCAATAATATATATTGTTCCATCTATTCAAATTCATGTGTCACCAATAGAATTTCAAGAGTCAACAAAAAAATTTTCTAAAAAATATATATTTTAATTATGATTTATAGTACTTTTAAATATAACGTATAGTGTGTTTGTAGGCTCTTATTAGATTGAAAAAATATTTTAAATTAGTAATTATTGTAATTAATAGTGTATATTACGTAATTTTCAAATTTGTAATAAATTTTTTTAAATATTAAGTCTAATAATTTATAGTATTACAACAGTAAAAAAATGCTAAAATGACAACTCTACCCTTAATTAATTTTATTTTTTTTAGTTCTAAAATGGACGTGTAAAGTATTTAATTAGTTGGCAGCCACTGATTGGCTCACTAATACACGTGGGAGCATTTGCATTTCACGCTCTTTGGCTCCGAAAATCGTGTGTTTATTTATTTAAAGGTAGGATAGTTAAAGTGTCTATTTGTGCATTATGAAAGTTGGAGGTCAAAGTTAAAATTTGAAGCCAAGTTTAGGGGCCAATATATGTATTATGCCTTTATGAGTTCGATCATAATAGTTCATGGGTTTTGTAGTTTATTTATTAAACTTGCAAAACGAAAATATTTTAGTGGTTTATTAACCTATTCACTCTTAAAAGAATGTTGTGATTACTATATTTCTCAATTATATATTATATATAAAAATCTTCTTAAAATATAGGCATAATACATAAATTGGATTCTTAATTTGGCTTCAAATTATAACTTTGACCTTTAACTTTGTCACTGCACAAGTAGACACTTTAACTATTCAAAACTTAAACAAAAAAACACTTAAATCCTACCTGGCAAAATGCGTTAAATACACCCAAATTAGGCGCGTCAGAGATAATATTTGAGGCGCGTCAGAGATAAAATTTGGCAAAATGCGTGAAATCTTAATCCTTTTATATATATATATATATAATTAATTTTTTTTAATTAAATTTCACTTTGTTCTCTTTCTGATTTTTTCAACATTTTCCCTTCTTTTTTTCCGGCATTATTTGTTGTTCATTGCAAAATGGACAAATTGCAAGTGACATTTAATTATTTTTTGTTATTGTGAAAAAAAAGCTATAATGAAATTTTTTTATTTTTTCCTATATCTATTGTAAGCAAGATGGGGTAAGTATACACTTGTAAAAATCAAACATAATCTAAGTCCGAAGACTGTAAATCAACGACTCCAATCCACACTTAAGGTACTCCTTACATTTTGATTAGGTATCATATTGTTACTCAAACTTGACAAAAATCCTTGAAAAGTTCATTTAGACATTTTATCAAACAATTTGAGTGCACCATTTTACTTAACAATATTTTGCACTCTATGTTTATTTTTTAGCCTCCGAAAATTCGTAATTGTAATTTGCTACTCACTATGACAATCATAATACACAAAACACCCTCTCTCTTTTTTTCATTAAGTATTTGACAACTTAAAGCACAAATATACTTCAAACTAAAGAAAGAAGAAAAAAGTTAATTGATTTTCATGTCTTCCTATATCTATGGGCTGCTCTGAAATAATTTTGCAACAAAAACATTAGCTTCCTCTAGTGATTCCCATACTAGCTTGAACATCTGACCAGCAATATGCAATTCTTGTTTGTAAAGTGTTGAACCTTGATACCTTGACTAAATTAAGGAAGAAGAATAGGTAATCGTTCAAGTATATGAATTTTCTACGCATATCTTGAACAATTATTTCTTTGATTTGAATATAAGGGGCATGAATTTTAGAAACGGAAAAGGGTCAAATATACCCCTGTACTATTGAAAATGGTTTAAATATACCATTCATTATACTTTTGGGCTAAATATATCTCTCTCATTATACTTTGACACATATATACCCTTATAACTAACAAAGTGACACTTCGAGGGTTAGGATTAAAAGAACTCATCTAATTTTAAACTATATCAAGTGCTAAGCTTAACCCGCCCCGTCCGATCAATATTACCCGACCCAAAATACACTTCAAACATGGAAACCTCTTGCTTTGCGCAGGGATTTTTGCTCTTGGAAGCTTGAGACAATATTGCTCAATGAATTTTCTGTAACATTTCAATTTTTGTTGTTCCTTTTCACTTAGCGGGTTGTTCATAGCTTGTTTTCCATCTTGTTGAATGGGAGAATCAGAGGGAATAAAATTTGCTCAGGGTTTTACGACATGACTTTCATATAGGTAATATGATAGTTGAAGATTTGGATGACATAATTGATTTCTTTAGCTGTTCGCCTCCTTTACTTTGCTAAGCAAAAATGGTTCCCAGTTTGCCTCCTTGATTTTGCAAAACAGAGAACGTTGTAGGGATTTTTATGTTTGAAGTGTAATTAGGGTAGGGTAACATTGATCGGGTGGGGCGGGTTGGCTTAGCACCATATATAGTTTAAAATTAGATGGGTTCTTTAAATCCTGGCCCTCCACATGTCACTTTGTTAGTTATAAGGGTATTTATCAAAGTATAACGGGAGGGGTATATTTAGCCCCAAAATATAACGAGGGGTATATTTAAACCATTTTCAATAGTACAGGGGTATATTTAGCCCTTTACTGTTTTAGAAATTTAGATTAGGGTTTTTTTTTAGAAGAAAGAGGAGGCGTAGTAAATTTTTTCCCAGAAATGAATTTGTTTTCTTTTTAACCTTTATTCTATATTATAATTTATTTTTATTATTTTAAAATCTAGGTGTATTTATTTTAGTTAGTTGGCAGCAACTGAGTGGTTCACTTATCCATGTCACAACATTTGTACATCACTTATCCACGTCAGAGCATTTCTTTTTAACCTTATTCTAAAATATTCAAGTGTTTTTTTGTTTAAATTTTTGATAGTTAAAGTGTCTCTTTGTGCACTATCAAAGTTAAAAATCAAAGTTATAATTTGAAGTCAAGTTAAGGGTCATATATGTTAAAGAATGACAAAAGTCTCACATCGGTGGTTAATGAGATGGGTGAACTCCTTATAAGGCTTGGACAATCCTCCTTTCTAAGACCTGATTTAAAGTATTGTATAATTGATGTGATAGTTTGCGGTGAAGACTCTGTCAACTCAACAACAACATGAAGAAGAACATTCTCTTATTGATTCTTCTCTTTCTAATTCAAATTTCTGTATCATTTGCTTCCTCAAATGAGACTGATCAACAAGCTCTACTAGCTTTCCAAAATCTTATTATTACAAGTCATAATCATTTTTTGGCCAATAATTGGACCAAAAATACTTCTTTTTGTTCTTGGTATGGTGTCACTTGCACTGAAAAAAGGCAAAGGGTTGTGGCCTTGGCTCTTCCTAGTTTGCAACTTCAAGTCACAATTTCCCCATCTTTGGCCAATTTGTCCTTCCTCAGTGTTCTCAATCTCCAGAACAACAGCTTCCGCGGTGGCATCCCTTATGGCATTGGCCACATGCCTCGCTTGCGAGTCATTGATGTTAAAAACAATCAGCTCAACGGAAGTATACCAACAAGTCTATTTCAAGTTTTCAACACCGGAGAATTCAAGTAATTTCATTGGCTTTCAATCAACTCAGTGGTGAAACGTTGAGAGGGCCATGGTATGTACCTGAACTCAGAGTCTTAAATCTCAGGAACAATAGCCTCACCAGTATAATCCCTCCTTCTGTTGGAAATGCCACAAAATTGATGAACTTCGATTTGTCTGGGAATAGAGTCAGTGGCAACATTCCAAAGGAGGTCGGTAATCTGAGCCAGCTTACAGACTTGTATTTGTACAACAATCAATTAACAGGTTTCATTCCCGCAACATTGTTTAATATTTCATCACTTCTTGCCCTATCTCTTGGAATCAATAGCCTTTCCGGTCCTCTCTTGCTTGATGAAGGAAATATTGTCTCAAATCTCAACTTTTTAAGTACATATCACAACCAAATTTCTGGTTGCATTCCTTCCAACATATGCCAACTCACAGAGCTCAATTTTTTGTCAATATCTATCAACAACATAACTGGAGATATAACTAGAAATATTGGTTGTTTATCCAAACTCGAAAGGTTTTATATTGGTGAAAATCCAATGGAAGGGACTGTTCCCACTTCATTGGGAAATATTTCTACTCTGCAATATCTTGATTGTGTCGACAATTGGTTGAAGGGGAAAATTCCTCAAGAATTAGGGAAGCTATCAAATTTGGGGGAATTAAGCATTGCCAATAATTCTAATCTTATTGGTCAAATTCCAGAGGCTATGTTCAACATAACCTCTCGGGGAGAATTCCAACCACTACAGGTCATCATCTTCCGAACCTTGAAGAACTTTACTTGGGAGACAATCAGCTTGAAGGGGAAATTCCATTGTTCATAACAAATGCATCCAAGCTTCAGTTACTGTCGCTAAATGATAACTCTCTCAAAGGAACTATTCCTAACAATTTGGGGAATCTTCGTGAGCTGCAAATACTGCTCCTACATACTAATCAACTTACCAATGAACCAAGAGAGCATGCGTTGAAATTCTTCAATTCTTTGGCGAACTGAAGGATGTTGACATATCTAGAAGTGGGTAGCAATCCGTTGAGTGGCTTTCTGCCAAATTCTATTGGGAATCTCTCATCTACTATTGAAAAAATTAATTTAGCAGATGCACACATCAATGGCCTCATCCCCACAAGTATAGGCAACATGAGCGGTCCTATATCCCTATACATTGAAGAAAACAACTTGATAGGGAGTATTCCTTCTGATGTTGGTAAGCTTAAATGACTCCAAGGACTCTATCTATCTAACAATAAATTGCAGGGACGTATTCCAGAGGCGGTATGCCATCTATCTAATTTGGTTCAATTATATCTGTATGGTAATGAGCTCTCTGGGTTAATTCCAGAATGCTTAGGAAATCTTAGCATGCTTCAACAGCTTTCTTTGAATTCTAACAAATTATCTTCAAACTTTCCGTTGAGCCTTTGGAAGATGAGTAGTCTTCTCTATCTAAGTGTGTCACAGAATTCAATAGAGGGAGAAGTTCCATCAGCTATTGGAGGACTGCAAGCCATTGTAGAACTACATCTTTTCAGTAACCACTTTTCAGGCGTGATACCAACCAGATTAGGGGAACTCCAAAACCTGCAGTATATTGACCTATCAAACAATTCATTTTTTGGCCAAATTCCATTATCCTTTGCCAACTTGATAAACTTAGAATTCTTAGATCTGTCTTTAAATGCGTTGTCGGGTACTATTCCTAAGTCATTGGAAAAACTCTCCTATCTTATAAGCATTAATGTTTCATTTAATGATTTAGAAGGTGAAATACCGAGTGGTGGCGTGTTTGCAAATTCCACTCTGCAATCATTTCTCGGGAACAAAGGTCTATGCAAAATGCACATATTGGAGATTCCTGATTGTGTTATCACTAATCCTGGAAAACAATCAAAGCTTAAGGAGGTTGTGCTAAAAATTGTTACTCCAGTGGTTACTTCATCCTTTCTGATATTCTTATTCGTTTCAATTTGGACAATGAAACGAAAAAAGAAAGGGAAGTCCAAAGATGTGGAGAAGGTACCGGAGATCGGGACTCATCAATTAGTTTCTTATCATGAGATTCGAGGAGCAACAAATAATTTTGATGAATCCAATTTAATTGGTGAGGGAAGCTCTGGCTCTGTGTACAAAGGCGCATTGTTTGGTGGAACTGCAGTGGCCATTAAGGTTCTGGATTTGGAAAATGAGCAAGTATGCAAGAGGTTTGATACCGAATGCGAAGTGATGAGAAATGTTAGACACGGAAATCTTGTTCCAGTGATTACTACATGTTCTATTGACTATATAAGAGCCTTTGTTCTGCAATTTATGCCCAATGGAAGTCTTGACAATTGGTTGTACAATGAAGATCGCCACTTGAACCTTCATCAAAGAGTTTCTGTAATGCTTGATGCAGCTATGGCAGTTGAATATCTACATCATGGTCATGTCACTCCAAAAGTTCATTGCGACCTAAAGCCAGACAATGTTCTTTTGGATGAAGCTATGGTGGCTCATGTTGGTGATTTTGGAATCTCTAAAATTTTAGCCGTAAGCAAGTCCATGGCTTATATGGAGACATTGGGCACTCTTGGATACATTGCACCAGGTATACTAGTCTCTTTCTATATATTTTCACAAAAATCAGAATTTAGCCCTTCCAGAATCATAAAAGCAAGTGTCTGTTAGTACATAATTATGCTATATTCAAATGAGTAATTCTTTTTCATTTTCATTCTTTTTTAAGAATATGGCTCGGAGGGAATAGTGTCTTCTAGTGGTGATGTTTATAGCTATGGCATCATGGTGATGGAGGTCTTGACGAAACGAAGGCCAACAGATGAAGAGATATGCAATGAAAACCTTGACTTGAGGAAATGGATCACACTAATCATTTTCAGGGAGTATGATGGACATCGTGGATGCCAATCTTTTTCGTGAGGAAGAACAAATCACTAGGAAAAAGTGAAATGTGCATAGCGTCCATGATAGAATTGGCTTTAGACTGCATAAAGGAAATGCTAAAATCAAGAATAAGCATGAAAGATGTAGTGAAGAGGCTTAACAAAATCAACAACACATTTCTGGGAACATAGAAGTGATCAGCATCACTTCGGATGGTGTTTTTTGTTTCTTTAGTACTACTTGGAGTTATGTATTGTTTGTAATTTCATTTGAGTGGTTTTGAACCTAGTTTACTTTATCTATTTGTAATTATGTTTTGAATGAAACTATTTTGCATTAGCTTCTTCATTTGTATTCAATAAACTTCTGTTCATTTCCTTGTACTAATTACTGTATTCTTTGGACTTTAGAAATGAGTTTATTAAGAAAAGACTTTATACAGAGGAACGTCACTTGGACTCGCTCGCTATCACAAAACAGGATTTTTAGGCATTTTTCATGTATTAACGTTAGTCCAGTGAACCATCGATAATTAGTGATTGACCCCCAAACTTGACCAGGCATTTTTACGCCTAATTTTATTTATGAAATTAGCTGACCAACTTGTTTGGCGAACCGACCTTTAAACAGCCTTTGAGCTATGTCATGACATATTTTTCCGCCTAATTACTGTTGACATCGATGATTTTTATGATTCGATTATTAAATAAATTAACAACGTCGTCATTGTCATCGTCATCGCTTGTCCAAGAAGAAGAAGAAGAAGTAGTAAATATCATATTTCTCTCTCTCTACACAAGGTATTGGATTTAGCATAGCTCAAAGACTTGGATTTGAAGGTGCTTCTGTTGTTATCTCCTCTCGCAAACAGGTTTTTTCTTCACTCCAAAAATTAGTGTGAGGCTTCTGCTATAATCCTGAGTCTAATTTTTGTCCTTGGTCGATAATCAATTAACAGGTTTCATTACCGCAACACTGTTACCTCTTGCTTGATCAATGGAATATTGTGTGATATCTAAAGTTTCCAAGTATATCTTACAATTTAATTTCATTCATTTCTTTGAACAACATAAATAGAGAAATACCCTTCAAAAATTAAGTGAAGGATATATATTTTATTATCAGTTTTCCTTTGGAAAGATTAGTGTGAGGCTTCTGCTATAATCCTGAGTTTAATTTCATTGAAAATATGTTTTATAGGTTGAATGACAATTTGATCGCTAGAGATGTCTCAAAAACCTTGCTATGTTAATACACAAGATTTTTCATAAACAATGTCACATTTATATAAAAGAATCAATAAACATTTCTGTTATAACTTTAGTGACCTGAGTATGAGTATAGGCTGAAAGAGATCAATTCTACTTAACTGCACATTTTTTCCAATTCATGTTTTCTCATTGCAAAATGGTACTCCTTTGTTGAGTTAAGCAAGAACTAAGGGTGTATTCGGTACACAGGAAAAGTATAAAAAGACATTTTAATGTTTTGTCGTTAAAAATATTATATTAACTACAAAAAGAAAATTTGTCTCCAAATATGTACTAGTATTTATGACGAATCATGATCTTCATCTTCTCATTTCTATCCCTTTCCATAAGAACAAATATAATGGACCAGTCTCTTCATTCTTATTTAACATGGCAGAGTGCACACTGAACTTAGCCTCCTCTCCTCCCGCTCTCTCTGCTAACTTGTGCATCGGAGAAACTCAGTGCGCAAGTGAAAGTGTACGATTCTGAGGAGGAACTTGCTGTGGCTCTAGCGAAGTACACTGCCGATTTATCGGAGAAATTTTGTAAGGAGAGAGATGTTTTTACTGTGGTTGTTTCCGGTGGTTCACTTATCTAGTAATGATTGATTAATTCTCTTCGTTTCTACTAGGAAATTGGCGGAGCCACCAGACCATATATTGATTCAATAGACTGGTCGTAATGGCACGTTTTCTGGGTGGATGAGAGAGTGGTTCGAAAGGATCATCCTGATAGCAATTATATATGATGGTTTTCTATCCAATGTATATTTCCATCTCTTCCTACAATATATTTATTGATTTTATTTAGTGCTGCCAACATACTGTGTACTTTCTTCATTAGCTTTCTATTTCACCCTCTCCTCTGTTTATTTGTTGTTTTTCCCCCAACTTTTGTGATCTTTTGCTTGTTTGCCTGGTCAAAATGTGGGACGCACTAGTGATTTGATTTCCTCTCATCAGATACCCCAAAGTATTAGTAGAGTTATTCAGATGAAATATTTGGGAAAATCAGTTTAGAAAGTAATTATGTGAGGGCGTTAGGTCAGCGGAATGCAAGTCATGCATACTATAAACATATCTTTTTCCTGCAGTTTATTCTCCTATTGTATTTTATCTACAAGTTAGGCATGTGTTTGCATCAATAACAGATTGATCATACCGAATGCAAAGTAAAAATATATGGTAGCACATTTTGCAGCTGCTATATTCAGGATGGAGCCGGTAATATGTGTGAGGCTTCTGCTATATTCATGAGTTTATTTTATATAGAGGAACATCAAATTCGGTATCAGAACAGTATGTAAAGAAGCTAAGGTTGATTGTTTAGGTAGTAAAAGAAGCATTTTTTACAACACTGGAAGAAGCAATGGGAAAGAATCAATTAGCTGTTTCTACTTCAGAGTATTTGTCAAACATATGAAAACTGATTTCTGCATCAAAGCTTTGCACATGTGATTACTATCTAATTTGTTATCGAATAAATATAATCTAATTTAACTTTGAAAATGAATCAAACTGACTTTCGAAAAGCGCAACATGACAAAGAAGATCGCCACTTGAACCTTCATCAAAGAGACACTGTAATGCTTGATGCAGCTATGGCAGTTGAATATCTACATCATGGTCATGTCACTCCAATAGTTCATTGCGACTTAAAGCCAGCAAACGTACTTTTGGATGAAGATATGGTGGCTCATGTTGGTGATTTTGGAATCTCTAAAGTTTTATCCATAAGCAAGTCCATGGCTTATACAGAGACATTGGGCACTCTTGGATACATTGCACCAGGTATAAAAAAATCTACTCTCTTTGATTTTCTCTTAGATCATAATTAAGCCTCTCTAAGGTCTAAAAGTAAAAAGAGCAAGTCTTTATTTATGCAGAATTATTGTTGTATTTCAATTGAGTAACTTTTCTTCAATCCTTTTCTAAGAATATGGCTCGGAGGGAATAGTGTCTGCTAGTGGTGATGTTTATAGCTACGGCATCATGTTGATGGAAATCTTGACCAAAAGACGGCCAACAGATGAAGAGATATTCAATGAAAATCTTGACCTGAGGAAATGGATAATACAATCATTTTCAGGGAGTATGATGGACGTTGTGGATGTCAATCTTTTTTCTGAGGATGAACAAATCACCAGTAAAAGTGAAATCTGCATAGCGTCGATGATAGAATTGGGTTTAGACTGCACAAAGGAAAGGGCAGAATCAAAAGTGACCATGAAAGAAGTAGTGAAGAGGCTTAACAAAATCAAGAACACGTTTCTGGAAACATAGAAGTCATGGTGTTCTTTTCTAAGCTGCAAATTAATATGATGCTTTTTGTTTATTTTTTAATAAAGTTGTCGTATTAGTACTTGAAGTCTTTGAGTGTTTTGGACCTATTTTACTCTATCTATTTGTGATTATGTTGAATGCTTGAAAGAAACCAGAAATAAAGGTGTTTAGCTGCACTATGTTGTTTTTTGAATGTGATAATGTGGGGGGATAAAAATAAACAATTATTGAAAATAATCCAACAATTTCATTGAAAATATGTTTTAGATGTTATTTTCATACTATCTTTGATCGCTAAAGATGCCTTAAAAACCTTCCTAATTTTTTCATAAACAATATCTTCATATTTCTATCCCTCAAGTCAGGACAATAAAACATAGCAGTCTGGTCAAACAGAGAAGAAAAATAAAACAATACAAGGCCAAAGAAAAAGTTCTTTTCTCATTGCAAAATGGTATTTGTTGTGTTAAAGCAAGAATTAAGGGTGTATTCTTTATAGGGGAAAAACATTTCTCAACTTTTTCATATATGGTTACAGAGCAGTTGCTATAGATTAAGACTTCAGTTACTTTAGATTAGCTCACTGTAAGAAAACAAAAGATTTATGCAGAACTTTTCTTGTATATTTGATGATCTTTTCCATTGTACGTATATATATATACAACAAGGAAAAGAATCTTAACAGTTTACTAATAGCAAAGAACACTCCTAACAAGATGTCTATACGTCCTATTCGTAGTTAACTAGTACAAGTAAGTTAGCTTATAATACTTCAGCCCACTGTTGGCTGAGATCGTTAACCAACTGAGCCCCAAAAGACCAAAAGAACCAATAAGCCATTTGAACCTGTGTGTGGAGGCCCAGTACTCTTTGTACTTCTTGTCTTCGTTAGTGAGCAGATCAATATTCACACCAACACCCTTCATCAAGTCTGAGGGGATGAGAATACACCCAACTTGCCCAATAAGGTGTGATGCAGAGGCAATGATTTAGTGAACAAATCAGCTGGTTGGGATGAAAATTGAATGTGAGAAAGTGAAATGCAAGGTGTGCCTAAGGCTAGTTTTATTAACAATAAGAAAATGATCTTTAAGCAAGGGGCCTATGCCTTATTTACTAATCCTAGGACGGTAACATGCCTCTACTAATCAACTCACCAGTGAACCAACAGAGCATGACTTGCGATTCGTCAATTCTTTGGTGGACTGTAGGATGTTGCAATATCTACAAGTGGGTAACAATCCGTTGAATGGCATTCTGCCCAATTCTATTGGGAATCTTTCATATACTATTGAAGACTTTCATATAGAAGATGCACACATCAAATTCTAAATCATCTAAGAGCTAGCTGATTTAGTGGGCAGTGTTGTATCTGCTTAGTTAAAGTCTAAGTTGTCTAGGGTGAGATGACTTGGTGGGCAGTGTGGTATCTGCTTAGGCTTAGTAAGTAATAGGCGTATTACTTAGCTTTTGAGATTAAGAGGTTAATCTTGTTGGTGTTTGTAATAAGTGTTTCACTTTTTCTTGAGAAGATTAGTGAAAACAGTTGAAAATCCTGTGTGACAGGTCGTGGTTTTACTCCCTTGAGCAAGGAGGTTTCCACGTAAACTGGTGGTGTTGTTTTCTGTTCATTGTTACTCTTCATTACTGTCATCTAAAGTGTCTATATGCATCATAAAAAGAATAATAGCTATATGGCTTTAAATGAGGACGATAACTAAACAGGCTTGTAAGGTGATCATTTCTTTTTGAAAACAGAGTCGTTACTTCAATGCCCTTGCTGCTAGAATCCCGCTGTGCTTCCAGTAGCCACTCAAGAGACAAGATGAACCAAAGAATATATAATATGAGCAAGCCACTAAATAAGAAAGGAACAAATACTGCAAAATTTTCGAATAAAACTACTACGGTGGTGAAAAAGATACACGTTCTGAATGTAGTTGGTATTACACATTGAGTTCTCAAAAAAAAGAGGTTGGTATTACACATTGATCCAAAAGGGGAATCAACTGAGCCTACCTGTTTGAAAAGACAAATAGCAAGACACTGGCCTAGATCTCAATCGAAGGTCCATTTCAGCAGCTGCTACTATAATGAACCATCTGGGAATGCATCCTGCTTGCCGTTGACATATATAGTACTCAACAACTGCTTTCATTTGTCCGAGTGATATATAGTTTACATGAACTATAATAACTGGTTTCAACTTCTTCAGATTAGCATCTTTTCTTACAGTCTTGAATAGGACCTAGGTAGATATCCATTGTTCTCCTGGAAGCGTATATACCCAGGATGTGATGGAAAAGCCAGCTCATCATTGAAAACTGCCTGGTCCCAGGAATTTGGCTGAGTAGTAAGCCGATCTAAGAGCTCGATTGGCCAAATATAAAAGAAACCAGAATTATAAACCCATATCGAGCCCAACCCATTGATGGTTCATCAAAAAACATCATTATAACCATAAGCTGTCATATTATTGTTATGTTGGCCATCATGTTGATGGAAGTCTTGACCAAAAGAAGGCCAACAGATGAAGAGATATGCAATGAAAATCTTGACTTGAGGAAATGGATAACACAATCATTTTCAGGGAGTATGATGGACGTTGTGGATGCCAATCTTTTTTCTGAGGAAGAACAAATCACTTTTAAATCTGCATAGCCTCCATGATAGAATTGGCATTAGACTGCACATATCTGGAAACATAGAAGTGATCGGCATCTCTTCGGATAGTATTCTTTGTTAATATGATGCTTTTTGTTTCTTTAGTCATTCGTACTTCCTGGAGACGTGTATTGTTTTTACTTCAGAGTGTTGCATTTCCCTTATTTTGTGATTTTAGATTTGAGTAGTCTTCAATATGTTTTGAATGCTTGAATAAAATCAAGAAATATTATGAAAGTGTTTAGCTGCACTAGTTTACTTTTAGGCATAATACATAAAGAGGACCTTTAACTTGGCATCAATTCACAACTATGACCCTAAACTTTGCCAGTGCACAAGTAGGCACGTTAACTATCACAAATTTAAACAATTAAACACTCGTATATCCCAGGCAAAGTGCGTGATATACAAATTCTTCTACGTGGCTGCCAACTAATTAAAATAAATACACGTGGATTTTTCAATTAAAAAACTGAAAATAAAAA